ATGCGGGGCTCGATCCCAGGACCCTGGGATCATGACCTGAGCTGAAGGCAGACGCTTAACGACTGAGCCACCCAGGCGCCCCCCTTTTAACATGTTTTTGAGCACCATCTTTGAGCCACGCACTCGCGGCTGGCTGCTGGTGATACAGAGTTAACACTGGCAATGGCCCGGGCGAGAAGCTTCTGGTCTCACAGGGCTATGAGACAGGGGGAGAGAAGTCAGTGCTTTCTGCCTGCGGAGTTAGCAGTCTCTCAGACTCTCCCTTGCTGCTCTGCAGAAGCTACCAGATTGAATCTCTGCCCTATTTCCCCTGGGAAAATTGTGTCCGTGTCTTGAAGGAAAAGAAGGTGGGGTCAGCAGATAGGAGTAGGGGAATGGGGGAGTTGTAGGTGGGTCCCCCCAGCCCTGTAAGATTCTGATGCCATTCCTTATCCCCCTCCAGGTCATTGAGGCTGAGGACATCCATGCCAAGTGTGGCCTGGGCTACAACCACACCAGCCACTGCCTGCCTAGTGGGGAGGTGATGATCAGCACCCTGGGAGACCCCAAGGGCAACGGCAAAGGTAACTGCTGGCACTGTAGGCACATCTGTCGGGGGAACAGATCCCAAGCTGGGGAAGGGATAGAATGACCTTCCAGGGAGAACCAGAGGGCTAGGTCTCATCCAAAATTTAAACCATAGTCAATTAACTTCAGTTGTTTCAATTATTTCTATGAAGATGAAACCTGACTGATGAATTCACTTAAAAGTTATAGTCAGAACAGTCCGCTGTGGGGAATGTGAGCACAGACATGGCCCCAGAAAAGGCATACATTTGATGTCAGCCTTTATGAATTCAGGAGCAAGTCTCACAGTCCTTGGGACCCTTCATCTTCACATTTGCTCTCTCATTTATGGTACGATCAGGGCTGACACAAAATGTCTACTATGTGCCAGATGCAACCTCTGAGGGAGCTGCTACTAGGATCTCTGGTTTCCAGATGAGAAAGCAGGGCACAGACTGATAAATAACTTACCCAAAGTCGTACAGCTAATGAGCTGTAGGGGTGGAACTCAAACCCAGGAATCTGAATCCTAATCACTACACTACTGGGCTGCTTCCCTCTGAAGCTTACCCATTTTGTCAGAGCCCTCCATCTGACAGCTTGGAGCAGACTATCAGCTCCTTTTTCTCAGAGATGGGAGAAAAGTGACACTCCTAGATTTAATAACACTTCGGAATTGACATCTAGTTGTATTTGCAAAGAATTGTCCAGGCTTCATAACATACCGAGCAAGGGAAAACATGTTGGGCATTCATGTTGAATGAGAAGTAAATATAATTTGTCTGCTCTTAAAAAAAAATGTAGTGAGCAGAATGGAGCCTAGACTCTGGGAGGAACCCCACAGAGAGTGGGAGGCTGGGCAAGAGAAGCACGGGGTGTTGAGTCCCAGGCTCTTGGCTCAAGGGAACAGAAAATTTCCCCTGTGGTCTGGAGAGGACAGGGATGAAATTGATGGTGGTAAGGGCACCAGAGTGAGTCCCCACCTCCCACCCGGTCCTCTGGGTGGGACCCTTTGGACACCTGAATCGAAGGAGCTGGCAAACCCAGTGGGAGGAAGGGGCACCAGGCCATGGACTTGGAGCCTCTTGGACATGCCTGGGAGTGAGGGCTGGCTGAGGGTGGCAGCTCTGTTGCCTCTACCTGCCACGTTACTTCCTTCCCTGCTCAGGGGGTTTCGTGCTGCTGGATGGAGAGACGTTCGAGGTGAAGGGGACGTGGGAACGGCCTGGGGGAGCCGCACCTATGGGCTATGACTTCTGGTACCAGCCTCGACACAATGTCATGATCAGCACTGAATGGGCGGCTCCTAATGTCTTTGGAGATGGCTTCAACCCTGCTCACGTGGAGGCGGGTGAGAATGCCCTCCACAGGCCAGCAGGAGCCAGGCACGCACGCCGCTCCTCTCTGCTTGAAAACCCCTCTCCGGGCCTCTTACTCCCCTCCTGTGAACCCGACTCTTGGGGTGCTGGTATAGGAGTGTGCTGAGTACTCTGACTTGCTCACGCATCTTTCTAATCCCTCCCACTGGTTTTTTCAGCCTAATGCGCGGGGCTGTGCCCTGGCTTTTGCCCACTGCCCCCTGCCTGGATCCTGAGCCCATCCTCTGGTCCTGTCCCCACCCCAGGGCTATATGGAAGCCACATACACGTGTGGGACTGGCAGCGCCACGAGATGGTGCAGAGCCTGCCTCTGCAGGATGGGCTCATCCCCCTGGAGATCCGCTTCCTGCACAACCCCGACGCAGCCCAGGGCTTCGTGGGCTGTGCCCTCAGCTCCACCATCCAGCGCTTCTACAAGAATCAGGTGACCTGTGTCCTCCAGCCCTCTCCTCCCGGCAGTCCCAGCCTGTACCTCTGCCAGGCTTCCATAGCCGTGAGGCACCCCTCTCTCTAGGCGTGACCCAGGCCCCTCGGCCTGGCTCTTGAGCCCAACTTCTCCGAACAAAATCCAAGGCCACTTGCTCTCTCTCTCTTCTCTCCTCAACCCTAAATTCCCACGTATTCATTCAAAAAGTATGTGTGAGCTTCTACAGTAGGCACTGTGCTAGGTGCTGGGAATGCAGTGGTGAAGCAGACGTCATCCCTACCTTAAGGGGCTTGCATCGGACTTAGACCCCAGTGGCAAGAAGGCCCTGCCTCGGCTGGCTCCCTGTAGACAGTAGGCCCTGGAGAGACCCACATCTGACCCCAGCCCCCCGATCTCACAAGCTCACCTCTCTGCCTCCCAACCCCACCCCCAGGGAGGTACATGGTCAGTGGAGAAGGTGATCCAGGTGCCCCCCAAGAAGGTGAAGGGCTGGCTGCTGCCTGAAATGCCAAGTGAGTGCCCGGGGCGGTGGGGGGCGTGTCAAACGGGGCTTCCTGGCCAGGGGACAAGAGTCCTTAAAGCCTCTGAACCACACTCCCACCCCAGGCCTGATCACGGACATCCTGCTGTCTCTGGATGACCGCTTCCTCTACTTCAGCAACTGGCTGCACGGGGACCTGCGGCAATATGACATCTCTGACCCGCAAAGGCCCCGCCTCACGGGACAGGTGGGGCGCCAACAGAATGGGGAGCGAAAAGGAGGGAGGAAAAAGAAGCCTGGGGGTGAGGGAGAGGGTATGAAGTGGCTGGGGGGTGATAAAGGAGGTGCAGGAATAGCAAAACTGGAGGCTGAGGGATGGTGCAGCCCAGGTCTGTGGGGAGCCATGGCTATACGTGGGGAAAGTGAGGCAAGCTGCTCTTCCTGCAATGTGCTCACCTCCCACCATTGTCCTCCTTTATGCTCTGTATCTCCCCGCCCAGCTCTTCCTTGGGGGCAGCATTGTTAAGGGAGGGCCTGTGCAAGTGTTGGAGGACCAGGAGCTAAAATCCCAGCCAGAGCCCCTGGTGGTCAAGGTGAGGATTTACCTCCCCTCCCCCTCCCCCAGCACCCCCTGCCTCGCAGCGCCCAGCCCAGCTCATGGGACCCTCGGATCCATGCTGGAGAAGTATGGGGTGGGGGGCATACTCCATGATCCCCCTCCAAGGACCCATATGTTACCATGGGCCTGACCCCCTGGTTTTCCCAAGGGGAAACGGGTACCTGGAGGCCCTCAGATGATCCAGCTTAGCCTAGATGGGAAGCGTCTATACGTCACCACGTCGCTGTACAGTGCCTGGGACAAGCAGTTTTACCCTGATCTCATCAGGTGAGAAGCAGACCGCCTGGGCTTCCCTCCCTAGCCCTCCTCTCCCAGAAGAGTCTGGCTTTCTGAAGACTCCTTGGGCACGCCCACCTGCTTCCACCCTGCAGGCCCTGCTCCTTCCCTAGGACCTACCTCTGCATCACAAACCCTTGGGGGAAGGGGATGGCCACCTCTGACCTCTCTTTTTTCCGCTTCCTGTTTCCACCAGGGAAGGCTCCGTGATGCTGCAGATTGATGTAGACACAATAAAGGGAGGCCTGAAGTTGAACCCCAACTTCCTCGTGGACTTTGGGAAGGAGCCGCTAGGCCCAGCCCTGGCCCATGAACTCCGCTACCCTGGGGGTGACTGCAGCTCTGACATTTGGCTCTGAAGTCCACCCCTGGTAGCCAGTCCACATCTGAGCCCTCACGCAGAGACCTGGCTTCGCTCTGCTCCCTCTCGGCCCCCAACCCTTGGCAGATTGTCCCACCAAAGCCAACCTGAGGCTGTTGGAATATATTGAGTAGTGTCTTCATTTACAGATCACTGTTGCATGTTGCTCACTGGCTGTTTTTACATGAGCTCTTGGAAATTACTTTATCAAGAAATAAACTGGTGAACCTATTCCTCAGATCACGTCATCTTTGGGGGCACAAGGTCTATGACTTCCCGTCTGCTGACCCTTTGTATCTTTTTTTTTTTAAAGATTTTATTTATTTATTTGACAGAGAGACACAGCGAGAGAGGGAACACAAGCAAGTGCAGAAGGAGAAGGAGAAGCAGGCTTCCCGCGGAGCAGGGAGCCCGATGAGGGGCTCGATCCCAGGACCCTGGGGCCATGACCTGAGCTGAAGGCAGAAGGTTAACGGCTGAGCCACCCAGGCGCCCCTAACATCTTCTTTTATTGTGGTAAAGAACCTGTAACATTAAAGTTACCATCTCAACCATTTTTAAATGTACAGTTCAGTTGTGGGTTTGTGCAACAGATCTCCAGAACTTGAGAAGGGCTTTATTGCTGCAATCGGAACACTAACACTAACACTAACACTTAGTGCATGCTCAGTGCTATTTGAAGAGCTTTACATGCATTAAGTCATTTAATTTTCAAAACAACCTATGAGGGTAGAATTTTTTTTTAAATTATCTCTTTTAGAGATTCAGAACCTGAGGTACACGGAGGTCCAGTTACTTGTGCAAATTCATGCAGCTAGGACCTGTAGAACCAGAATTCAGACACAGGCAGTCTGGTTCTCGAATTCTTGCTGTTAATCTCCTATTAGACCACTTGCGCCGGGTGATGGTGTATTATGGAGAGCCAGCCACCCGTAATCCAAGCTCGAATGTTTTTTCTTCTCAATATCTTTCCTGAAGCCAGGAGAGCCGACTTCCGAAGCCAGGGAGCAGACTGAGAAAGGAGATGCTTTTGGCAAGACAGGGCAAGCTGGAGAGCACACCAGGGCATTTTGTGGTTTCTTTCGGCCTTCAGGAAGTTCTCAGGCTTCACGCAGCTGTACTTGGAGGTGAGGAGCGTGGAGCTCCCGAGATCCTGGGCCAACTAAGTGGGTTGGTTAATCCTCGGTTCATGAAGGGGCTTGGGCCGCAAAATCACCCAGTGTCCCATGGTTAGTTTCTCTTGGGACCCAGAAGCCCACAGAAGGCTATTTATCAAGAGAGGAGCTGTTACCTGCTGACGTGGGCTGAGCCTCAACATGTCTTCTGGCCACCCCCGGGAACTCTCCTTCTGGGTCTTGCTTGCCCCAGCCTCACGGATCACCCCAACCTGCAGAGCACTATTGGCTCCACTGAGTCCTAAGGCCCCAGGGGCAGAGGTGTTGAACCGCAGCCGGGAGCAGCCAGAGAGCCCTTCTCCGTCCAAGACCCCACTGTCAGAACACGGCCTCCGCCCCTCACATTCCACGTGCAGCCGTGGCTCCACCAGCACGCCGGACCCGGGAAGCTTCTGCGGCGCCGCTAGCCGCCCACACACTCGCCGGAGCCCACGTCAGGCACAGCGCGCTCGCCGCCGTCCTCCTTCTTTGTGGCCTTGGCACGCGTGGCCGGCCAGGACCGTCACGTGCTTGCTCCCAGCTGCAAAGGGATCTGGGAAAGCGAGTGTCTGGCCTTTGTGGTTCCTATAGTGGTTGGTGGTGGGTTCCGTCTCCCACCAAACATAAAAACGGCTGTACGTGCTGTCCCTGCTCGCCGGCCCCAAACGATGGAAGATAAAAACAACCCATCTCAAGGAGCTTTGGGGAAGGTTCTGTGATTCACTACATTAGAGCGAAGCTGTTACAGGCACAGAGTCTGAAATCGGCTGCCTAGATTCAAATCCTGGACTCTGCTACCCACGAGCTGTGTGAGTTGGAGCGAGTTACTTCCCTTTAGTATGCTGTAATTTCCTTATCTGGAAAATGGACATAATAAAAGAGTTCACTTTAGAGGGTTGTTGTAAGGATTAAATAAGGTAGAGCATGTAAAGAGCTTAAGTACCTGGCACATAGTGAGCTTTTACGTGGGTGTGGGGTTCATTTCTTTCTTTCTTTTTTTTTTTTTTTAAAGATTTTATTTATTTATTTGAGAGAGAGAGA